AGCACTTTGGGAGGCTCTGGTGGGATGATCATTTGAGCCCAGGAGTCTGAGACCAGCCTGGGCAACATAGTGAGACCCTGTCTCAATCCAAAAATTGAATAAAAAAACAAAAAATAAATTTTTCAAAAAAATGTTCAAGGAACAACAACAAAAAATCAGGGCGGTGTTAGGGAAGGCATTTGCCTGAGCTGAGTTTAGGTGGGTGGGTAGTGGTTCTCTCGATTGGTGGGTGGGGCGTGGGTTTCCAGGCTTGGGAGCCAGGAAGGACAGCCTTGTGGCAGGTTTGGGTAATTCCAAACAGTGGAGCAAGGGTATCTGGGGGAAGACTTGTAGGACCTCAGCTGAACAAATTGGAGGGTGATACTCTGAAAGAAAAACAAAAGTTTTAAAATTTCTACTCTTACATAGAACGCTTCTGTAACCAGATATGTAGGGGTTTCCCCTCACACTCTATTAGAAGAAAAACTTTAGACAGATTAAATTTAACAGGGTTTAACTGAGCAAAAGTGATTCTAGGACCAGGCAGCTGCAGTAACCAGAATAGATTCAAAGCGACTCTGGGAGTGCCACATGGTTGGATACCATTTAGAAGCAGAAAAAGGAAAGTGACGTATAGAAAATGGAAGTCAGAGGCAGAAACAGCCGGATTGGTTGCAGCTCAGCATTTGCCTCATTTAAACAAAGTTTGAAGAGTTGGTCGCCCGTGATTGACTGAGAATCTGTGGTATAAAAGTTACAGGTGGCTCACACCTGTAATCCCAGCACTTTGGGAGGCCGAGGTGGGCAGATCACTAGGTCAAGAGATCGAGACCATCCTGGTCAACATGGTGAAACCCTGTCTCTACTAAACATACAAAACTTAGCTGGGCATGGTGGCGCAGCCTATAGTCCCAGCTACTCGGGAGGCTGAGGTAGGAGAATTGCTTGAACCCAGGAGGCGGAAGTTGCAGTGAGCCGAGATCGCACCATTGCACTCCAGCCTGGGTAATAAGAGCGAAACTCCGTCTCAAAAACAAACAAACAAACTAGGTGGGGGTGGCGGCTCATGCCTGTAATCCCAGCATTTTTGGAGGTTGAGGTGGGAGGATTGCTTGAGCTAAGAAGCTTGAGACAAGCCTGGGCAACATAGTGAGACCCAGTCTCAAATTAAAAAAATAAAAAATTAGCCTGGCACAGTGGTGCTACTTGGGAGGGTAAGGTGGAAGGATTACTTCAGTTCAGGATGTCAAGGCTGCAGTGAACTGTGATTGCCACCACTACACTCAGCTTGGGGACAGAGTGAAACCCTGTCTCAAAAAGAAAAAAACAAAAAAAAGAACCCCCATATATAAACACATGCATTATATATTTGCATCACACAAGAAGCAAATATGGAAGACTATATCTGAATCGTTGTCCCAAGGCATGGGAGGGGAGTAAATAAAGAAGAGAAACAGTCTGTGGAAAATCAATTTGTTAAAAACCATTTCAGTTGGCATTTTTCTGAAGCCCTATACAGGGAGAGAGGAGAGGAATTTTGGGGTAGATTGGGAGTGGAAGGGTAGGAGGGGAGGTGAGACAGGCTCAGATCATAAGCAGTTGTGTTTCCCTACCACTGCCAACCATGGCCAATAGTGGGAATGCTGTTGTGTCCTTCTAAGGACTGAAAAATGTGGCGCCTGAGCCAACTGTCACCTATGTGGCCTGGCCAAATAGAAGAAGAATGGAGCCCATAATACTCCTCTGACTCCCCCAGACCAGAAGGCTGGTCTCACCCTAGACCATGTTGGTGAAAGGGATGATGGAGCCTGGCTGTCAGCTTGAGGTAAACTGATCACTGGAAGAACTATTTGGCTAATTGATATATTAAAAAAGTGTTTTGGAAAATTAATTTTAGAATTGTTCAAAAGTTATCATTATCATCATCATCAAAAATGACAGCTGGCACAGAGGCTTATGCCTGGAATCCCAGCACTTTGGGAGGCTGAGGTAGGTGGGTCACTTGAGGACAGGAGTTTCAGACCAGCATGGCCAACATGGCAAAACCCTGTCTCTACTAATGATACAAAAGTTAGCCAGGCATGGTGGTACATGCCTGTAATCCTGGCTACTTGGGAGGCTGAGGCACAGGAGAATTGCCTGAACCTGGGAGATGGAGAGGTTGCAGTGAGCAGAGATGGCGCCACTGCACTCAAACCTGGGTGACAGAATGAGACTGTGTCAAAAAAAAGAAAAGAAAAAAGAAAAAATTGTGTAAACAATTTTTCACTTATAACATGGAAATTACCATCTTTTGGACCCTACTATATTCTACCATAGAGAGGTGGCTCTCAGTGTGTACACATCACTCCCTATTTTATGTTATAGTTATTTAAAATGTTTTAATTTAAATAATTAATTTTAAAATTTAATAATTAATTTTTACCAAATAGGTGTCCTTACATTTCCTTAGATACTCAACACTTGAACAAAATGGGGTTTGAAGTGCCAACCCCCCATGCAGTCAAAATCCAAGTATAACCTTTGATGCCTCAAAAACTTACCTACTTTGCTTATAGACATTACTGGAGATAGTGAAAAGGAAAAAAAACCTACTAATAGCCTATTGTTGACTGAAAGGCCCCTATCAGTAACACAAACAGTCAATTAACACATATTTTGTTATATATACTACATATACTGTATTCTGACAATAAAGTAAGCTAGAGAGCAACAAATATTATTAAGAAAATCATAAGAAAGAAAATATATTTACTATTCATTAAGTGGCAGTAGATCATCATAAAGATCTTCATTCTCATCATCTTCACATTGAATAGGCCAGGAGGAGGAGAAAGAGAAGGGGTTGGTCTTATTGTCTCGGGGTGGCCGAGATGGAAGAAAATCCACGTAAAAGTAGACCCTTGGCCAGGCATGGTGGCTCACATCTGTAATCCTAGAACTTTGGGAGGCCAAGGCAGGCAGTTTATCTGAGGTCAGGAGTTCGAGACCAGCCCGGCTAACATGGTGAAACCCCATCTCTAATAAAAATACAAAAATAAGCTGGGTGTGGTGGTGCATACCTATAATCCCAGCTACTCGGGAGGCTGAGGCAGGAGAATCTTCAACCCAGGAGGCAGAGGTTGCAGTGAGGAGAATTCGCATCACTGTACTCCAGCCTGGGTGACAGAGCAAGACATTGTCTCCAAAAAAAAAAGCATCACTTGAGCCCAGGAGGTTGAGGCTGCAGTGAGCAGAGATCATGACACTTCACTTGCGCCCCAAACCTGTGTTGTTCAAAGGTTAACTGTATCCTCCTTTAAAAAAGTGGTTGTTATTTAAAAAAAAAGTGGTTATTGTTAAATAATAATTTTTATATATTACTTTTTTCATGATACCTAAGGAAAATATGTCATAAATGGACATGTCTTTTCTAGTTTTGTTAACAACCACTTTCACAGTATTTTTGGGCTGTTGCTTTTTACTTGTCATTCTTGTGTTGTAAACCCTTGAAGTAAAACTCAAGCTCTTTCTTTTTTTTTTTTTGAGACAGGGTATCACTCTGTTGCCTAGGCTTGTGTGCAGTGGCACAATCTTGGCTCACTGCAGCCTCAACCTCTTGGACTCAAGCAATCCTCTCATCTCAGCCTCCCAAGTAGCTGAGACCACAGGTGCGCACCACCCATGCCTGGCTAATTTTTTCGTATTTTTTTTTTGTAGAGATGGGGGTCTCACTATGTTGCCCTGGCTGATCTTGAACTCCTGGGTTCCAGTGATCCTCCAATCTTGACCTCTCAAAGTGCTGGGATTACAGAGCCACCACATCTGGCCTCTTCCTTTGATAAAATAAATATTTTGTCTATGAATACAGCCATCAAAGTTTTAGGGGCAAAAGTTGATTATTGTCTTTACCTGAAGTCTAGACCTATAGGAAAAAACTGAAGACTGGGTTCTAGATATCTTAAAATAAATAATAAAGTATCTGTGAGTACCTTTATTGAAAAGTTTGTGCATAGAAATTATTCTGGTACTTTGCAGAGTTACAAGAAGGGCTAACAGAAAAAAAAAACTGGTAAATACAATTGAAAATAACAGTCGAGCTTATATTAAGCACTTACTAAGCATTAAACTCTATAAATCTCCTGTCATTAGTTGGATGCAATGATTAGACATCTTTGGTTCTCCACTACATAGATGATTAAAAAGTCTACGAAACTGAGGTGGTATCTATGTCTTTGGTAAGACACACCGGACCAAATGAAGCCTGCAATGATGTGCGGGCTTCCCCTCCCCCATGAACCACTTCTCTTTTTGGTGTTTTCACTCAGAAAAACAGAGAGGACTTTTGCTGCCACTAAATGACATAGCATAGTTTAAGCGGGTTTCTAGTTATTTATTATGGTTTGAATGTTTGTCCCCTCTGCAATTCATATAGAAACTTAACTCTGGCTGGGCACAGTTTCTCACACTTCTAATCCCATCATTTTGGGAGGGTGAGACTGGAGGATCACCTGAGCCCAGGAGTTTGAGACCAGCCTGGGCAACATAGTGAGGCCTCCTCTCTACAAAAACAAACAAACAAAAATTAGCTGGGTGTGGTGGCACACACCTGTAGTCACAGCTACTTGGAAGGCAGACGAGGGAGCATTGCTTGACCCCAGGAGGAGGTAAGAGCAGTCTGGGCAATATAGGAGACTCTCTCTTTCTCCCTCTCTCCATCCATCCAAAATAAATTTAAAAATAGAGAAGAAAGTTAATCCTCAATATAACAGTATTAAGAAGCAGTGCCTTTAGGAGGTGACTGGGTCATGAGGGCTTCTTCATTAATAAATTAATGGGTTATCCTGAGAATGTCTGTTATAAAAGGCAGTTTGGTTCTATCTCTTGTGCCCCTCTAGACCTTTATCTTTAGCCACGTTATGGTGCCTCTAGCCTTTATCTGATATCTTTAGCCATGTTTTGAGGCACAAGGCCCTCACCCAAAGCAAACTAGATACAACCCCTGAATGTTGAACTTCTCAGCCTCCTCCAGAACTGTAAGAAATACATTTTTTTCTTTCTTTCTTTCTTTTCTTTCTTTCTTCTTTCTTCTTTCTTTCTTCTCTCTCTCTCTCTTTTTGAGATAGGATCTTGCTCTGTCATTGTGCCACTGCAGCCTCAAACTCTTGGGGTCAAGTGATCCTCCTGCCTCAGCATCCTCAGTAGCTAGGATTACAGATGTGCATCATCATGTATAGATAATTTAAAAAAACTTTTTGTAGAGACAGGTTCTCACTATGTTGCCAAGGCTGGTCTCAAACTTCTGGCCTCAAGTGATCCTCTAGTCTCGGCCTCCCCAAAAGTTGAGACTACAAGCATGAGCCACTGCATTTGGCTTACTTTCTCATATATTATCTGGTCTCAGATATTCTGTTATAGCAATAAAAAGACTAAGACAGAATCCTTAGCTGTCTACAAGTGTGCATACCATTTTAATAATCTGAAGAGTCAGTGAGAGTCTTAGGTGGAGTCTTGCAAAAGCAGGCCCTGAGCCAAAGATTTGGATGCAAATGACTTATTAAGAAAGGGCTCCTTGAGATTGCTCCATTGCACTGGGCAAGAAGAGTGAAACCCCGTCTCAAAAAAAAAAGGGTGGGGGGCTCCTAGAAAAAAACAGTAAAGGAGTGGGGGATGAAGGACAGGGAATGGGAAGAAGCCAAGCAAGAGTGTGATTTCAGAAGTCCTACAGTCAGCCTGATCACACCGGAAGCTCTAGAACAAAGAACACACCTCAGAGTTTTTCCTGCCTCAAACACAAAGGAGCTGGATTTTGGTGCTCTACATCAGCCTGTCTTTGGCTATCCAGGATTATGGAATGAGGTGAGACATAAAACCCCCAGATACTACCAGCTCCCTCCAGTGTCTGAGGGTAATCTGCAGATGCTAGCTGTTAGCAGCAAACTATGCAGAAGCTGAGGACTGGCTCAAAAAGCCAGATCTGGGTGAGTCATGTTTCCTGTTAACATCTTCTGCTGGGCCCATAACACATGCATCCCCAAACTCCCATTACAAGTTCAGAGTTTCTAAGGGGATAGTATTAAAGTGTGTATGACATTGGACTCAGACCTGAGTTTGAATCCTAATTCCACAAAAGGAATTGGAAAAGAGTCACAGTGCTGACTTGACCCTTTGTCGCCACATCCATAAAGTGGGATAATTATTCCTATATAATAAAATGTACTTATTTATTCCCTTAATCATTTGTTAAATAAATATGGAGTGTCTACTTCGTGCCAGGCACTCTTAGGGTTGTTCTGAGAAGGGGATGGTAATGAGAAGGGCTCGATAAGATGCAAGACTCTAGGCAACTGCTTTTACTTCCAGTGGTTCCTTATTTTCACAGCTCATTAGAGCAAATTACCACAGCAGGGAAATACAGGTTGAGTATCCCTTATTCAAAAAGACTGGTAACCAGAAGTGTTTTAAATTTTGGATTTTTTTGGATTTTGAATTTTTTGCATTATAATTACCAGTTGAGCATCTTTAATGTGAAAATGTGAAATCCAAAATGCCCCAATGACCCTTTCCTTTTAGCATCATGTTGGCATTCAAAACGTTTGAGCTGTTGGAGCATTTAGGATTTCAGGTTATTAGATTGGGGATACTTATTTTGTACAGCGGAAAACTTCTTGGCACTGATCTGGTGAAAGAAGAAAGTACGGAAGAATCCCTTTCTCCAAAGGACTTTAGATATCAAGATGGTCCTGACTCATCTGGACAGTTCCTCCAAAGTTAGGCCTACAGGTAGAGCTCTTTTTTGGCAGCATCAGGGTTCTGGAGAATTAAAGTTTTTTTATTTTTTATTTATTTATTTTTTTTAACTGAGGCCAGGAAAGGTTAAGAGAATGAAGGGTCCTAGTGATGGTGTAGTAAGCAAGTCATTTGTAAGTAATGGAGCCTTATTTGACAGATTTCTAGGAACTCAGTATCCAAGCTCAGGCTTGGCAGACTGAGGTGGGTATAGTCCTCAGGATTTCAGTGTAGCTTAGAGGTTTCAACTCCAATTGTATTCCACAGCTTCCTTTTCCCCAATAACCCCGTTTTATAACAATTGTTTTGTAGTGATTCTTTTATTAATATGATTATGAAAATTAAGTAATTTATCTTGTGAATGCTCTAGGCTGGCTGCACTGCTGGTATAAAGAAGTGCCAGACACTTGCAACTGCCCAGGATCTCTGTGAACCAGCAGCATGGAATACCAAGAGGCACACTATATTGATGGCTCAGATTCAGATATGGTATTGCTGGTTCTGGCATAATTTTCTGAAACGGTGAAAATCTCTAAATTCCAAAAACAAAAAAACCAACATACATCTTCCTTTAAATTGCCTGGTAGTTACATTCCTGGAAAATTTAGTGTATATGAGCCTGAGGTAGTAGATAATACTCAAGAAATAAAATAATTGAAAGATATAAAACATGTTTTTTTACACGTGCTTGTAAGCCCAGATTATATGCAGGGTTTTTTTTTTCTTTTCCTGAGGGAGTCTCTTGCCCAGACTGGAGTGAAGTGGCGTGACCTTGGTTCACTGCAACCTCCACCTCCTGGGTACAACCGATTCTCCTGCCTCAGCCTCTTGAGCAGCTGGGATTACAGGCAGACGCCCCCACGCCCGGCTAATTTTTGTAATTTTAGTAGAGACGTGGTTTCACCATGTTGGCCAGGCTGATCTCGATCACCTGATCTCAAGTGATTTCCCCCCGCCTCGGCCTCCGAAAATGCTGGGATTACAGGCATGAGCCGCCGCGTCTACTGCTTTTTCATACATTACATGTACTTGTATGTAGACTGGGACCTCTGGCCCTCAGATTGTTAATAAATACTCCAAGTGACTTCCTTGCAAAAACCACTGCGAATCACTTGTCTGGAGAATGGCAAGTTGCTGATCTAAGTACTGCAGGGGTGGGGCGGGGGAAGCAACCCAACTCTTCCCCTTTCTGGGAAAGCAGCTGGCTTTGAAGAAAGAGAAACCAGTACCGGAAAGTCCCGATTTCTAATCTGAAAGAGCGCTTTTTGCCCAGAGACCGGTGACGAGCGACGCCGGGCTCGGGTTTTGATTGGGCAGTTCGGAAACTGTAAAAACGAATTAAAAGAGTGACGAGCTAGTGCTTTAGCCCATCCAGTTGTGGGAGTTTGGACCGTGACGCCCCCGCTTCGTGACCTTAGGTCTCTCTCTCTCTCTCTCTCTCTCCTGTGACCGTCCGGTCCTCCTTCCCAGATCAATAGAGCTGGAAAGTGATGGGCACTGCTTTCTGGGGCTGCCCAGCTTCATTCCTGCTAGTAGCAAAATGCAAATTAGTCGAGAATAGCGATCCCGGGGAGAGGCAGGTGTGTGTGGGGCCCAACAGAAGTACCACCTGGGTAAGTAGGCCGGTGCCTGCAGGCTAGCGCAGAGCACATAGCCCTTCTCTGGGCCCCGCCCATTTTCATGCTGGGCTTCTCATTTCCTCTTATATTCTAGGGTTTGCCGATCTAAAGATCTAAATCTATTGTATTGTGGAACATTTCTGGCAGCTTACATCTTTGTTTATTGAGATATAGCTAACAAACCATACAATTAACACATTTAAAGTGTACATTTCAGTCGCTTTTAGTATCTTCACAGGGTTGTGTAACCATCACCTCAATTTTAGGACATTTTCATCACCCCCAAAATGAATCATGTACTGGTTAGGTGTCACTCCCATTTATCCCAAATCCCGTCCTAGGAAGCTACCAATCTTTCTGTCTCTACGGGTTTGCCTATTCTTAGTATTTTAAAGAAACAGAAACATAGAATATGTGGTTTTTTGGAACTGGCTTCTGTTTCAGAGGTCATATCGTAGCAAGGATCGGCTCTTCGTTTCTTTTTATTGATGAATACTACTCTATCACATAGATACATAAAGTTTTGTTTATCCATTATTAATGGGTGTTTGGGTTGTTTCCACTTTTTGGCTATTGAGAATAAAATGTTATCACCAATATTCATGTATAAGTTTTTGGTGTGGCCATAGGTTTTCAATTCTCTTGAGTGTATATATATAGGAATGGAATTGCTGGATGATATGGTAACTCTATGTTTAATCTTCTGAGGAACTACTAGACTGTTTTCCAAAGCTGAATGTACTATTGCGTATGAGAGTTCCAGTTTTCTACATCCTCACCAACAATTATTATTTTTTTTTTGAGACAGAGTTTTGCTCTTGTGGCCCAGGCTGGAGCGCAATGGCATGATCTTGGCTCACTGCAACCTCCACCTCCCGGGTTCAAGCAATTCTCCTGCCTCAGCCTCCCAAGTAGCTGGGATTACAGGCATGCACCACCATGCTTGGCTAATTTTGTATTTTTAGTAGAGATGGGGTTTCTGCATGTTGTGCAAGCTGATCTCAAACTCCCGACCTCAGGTGATCTGCCTGCCTCAGTCTCCCAGAAGTGCTGAGATTATAGGCGTGAGCCACCATGCCTGGCCTCTTTTTTTAAATTTTATTTTAATAACCATTCTAGTGAATATGAAATGGTATGTGTTTATGGTTTTGATTTGTATTTCCCTAATGACTAATGATACATTATTTTTAGATTATAAACTAATTAATTTTTTAAAAGACTTACAGGCTGTGATTTTGACAACTTCTAGGTCACATGCCCAAAAGTCACAGAGTTAAACCAATCCTCTCTATGCTCAAACTCTATCTTCTCTTTCCTAGAAGACATTCTGGGATAAATTTTTCAAAACTCTATTTGTTGCCTCTGTTAGAAAGAAAACCCTGGGCAAGATGAACCTGCAAGGAGATTAAATGGTTTATTTCTTATTTGCTGTTAAGAGTGTGTAAGGAGCTTTTTGGTCTCCCATTTTTACTTTATAAAAATTGAGTGGGCCAAGCATGGTGGCTCATGCTTGTAATTCCAACACTTTGGGAGGCCTAGGTGGGTGGATCACTTGAGGTTAGGAGTTTGATACCAGCCTGGCCAACATGGCAAAACCCCATCTTTACTAAAAATACAAAAATTAGCCAAGCGTGGTGGCATGTGCCTGTATTTCCAGCTATGTAGGAGGCTGAAGCATAAGAATTGCTTGAACCCCAGGAGGCAGAGGTTGCAGTGAGCCAAGATTGTGCCATTGCACTCCAGCCTGGGTGACAGAATGAGGCTCTTTCTCAAAAAAAAAAAAAAAAAAAAAGCTCTTAGATGAAATAATAATGATATTGTGCTTCTCTTCATGTAAGTGCCCCTTGGATTCCTCCTCCCGACTACCATCAGGTCACATGCCCAAAAGTGACAGGGGAAGAGCCCTCAGTTTCAAGAGCAGTGGTCTCCAAATTTTGTTCACATGCATAACTATAAAAAATTTTTGGTATACATTTTCTATATATATCTATACATTTTATACATATGCTACTATCAGTCTTGATTTAGACATTACTAAAGCTTAATTTTTCTCTCATTTTTTTTTCAGTTAAAAATTCATATCGAACTATCTTAGAGGTGGCTCCCAGAAGATCCACTCCCTGTGGGAGCACAGCAGTTGTGGAAGTGAAGACAGGACCGGAACAGAATAAGAGTTCAAATATGCTAGGAAATCTAAATTCTTATATAAGTCAGAGAGTGACTGAACAAGAGCAGTGAGACATTGAGGGCTTTTAATATTTGCTTTCAACCTTGGCACAGATCATTCCTTCTTTAAGACTGAATCCAAAAAGCAAAATGGAATACTATAATAAGCTGTGACAGTATGGTAAATGCTGAGCATTCCCTATAGTCAGAGAAGGCCCAACTCCTGACATAGCCTTGGATGCAGAACTGACAGAACTCGGGGAAAGTGATGAAGTAGTTGAACTCACCTGTGAATTTCTAGAACCTGTAGTGATTGACCTAACTCACCATGACTCTGTTACGATTATTGAACAAAGGAGGAGGCCAAGAGCAAACACAAGGTCACTCCAAGGCTAAACTGGAAGTTGTGCAGTAAACACTGATGAGAAGGGATTGATGAGGGACAGAGATGTATGTGTAACCAACAGTGCACACTGTAATTCCCTGCAAAAAAAATTTTTTGGTAATACACAACCTGGTTATATTCAGTGTCAAGTTTGCATGGATGGATACTCAGAGACTGAACTTAGTAGACAACACATATACTCTACAGAAATGTGGCCACATCTGTAGTTGGTGCCTCTGCACTTCCTTTAAATATACTAAAATGTGCCCAGCTGGTTTGAAAAAAATCAGCCTCCATCAGTATCACTGCATTTATATATGAGGTGTGCCTTATTGCTCAAGACAGATGGATCTGTGGCTGGATTTTTTTCCATGTCTTTGTGCAGGAACTATGGGTTGTTGGCATCCAATGCTCTGAGCTTAAAAAGATTGATTTTAAAAATTGCTATCTGCAGTACCTAAAAAACTTTCATTTCTCATATGCTCTGAGACTGCTTTTTGTTTCCTTTGGTTTTATGCTTCAGGGAGGGACTTTGGTTGCCAGAGTGCCAGATAATGGGGTTGCCCTTAAAGCAATTTTCCCTTTCTTTTTTAAGAGTCATAATTTTTAGTTAGCCACATATGGGCATTTTGGACCACATAAATAAAGACAACACCATAGATATGGTGAAGCCAGTTGTAAACTAAAAATAAAATCCTAAGCTCCCTAATTGACTGAATGGAACACCTCCTGACCAAAGTGACCCCAGAAAAACCTTAAAACTGAGTTCCTGGCCATGACAGGGTGAGGGGTCAGACATGCTTCATTATACCCCCCTTTGATGGTTTAGACACAACAACTGACCAGCATTAATGTCAAAATAAAGGTTATAAGACTGACAGAACAGACTCTTTGTAGCAATAACAAATTATTTGTAAGACCTAACGCCATGCCAGGCAAGTGCTATGTCATGCACTCCTACGCTTCAAGAATAAACTATGTTCTCACTGCCACAAATTTTTCTATTTATTTATTTATTGAGATGGAGTTCTGCCAAGCTGCTTTTTGTTTTTCATTAACAGCTAAACAAGCACCAGCCTTGAGATAAGCAATATTAAAACAACTTGCAGCTCCACCAGTTGCTGACTAATGGCCCTTCATTCCCATTCCACCAGCCATAAAAGAGGCTGATTTCAGTAACTTGCTCTTGATAAAAAAAAAAAACCATTGATTATGGGCTGGTTCTGGCCCGTTTACACGGGCTAAGCACTCTTGTACCTTCCTGTCCTGAAAAGGCGTTTTGACTTGCAGGGCCTAACTGCAATGCATTTAAAAGTTAAGTCTCCACTTTAGGCTGGGCACAGTGGCTCACACCTGTAATCCCAGCACTTTGGGAGGCTGAGGTGGGTGAATCACTTGAGGTCAGAAGTTTGAGACCAGCTTGATCAACATGACAAAACCACATCTCTACTAAAAATACAAAAATTAGCTGAGCATGGTGGTGCATTCCTGTGATGCCAGCTACTCGGGAGGCTGAGGAAGGAAAATCATTTGAATCCAGGAGGCAGAGGTTGCAGTGAGCTGAGGTGGCGCCACTGCACTCCTGCCTTGGTTTCAGAAAACAACAACAACAAAAAACCAAAAAGGAGTTAAGTCTCCACCTCAGAGTGAACATGGGTTGTATGTTACATGCATGTTTGTTCAATAAGCATGAGTCAGGACGACCTCCCTGATTATTCATAGCTTCTCCTGTAACCTGTTGAATATGTATGTTTAGTCAGCATGTTAAGCATCAAGTTCCTATCCCAACCCCTCCTCTTTTGAAGTGCCTGTCTCTGGTCTTTGCTAGAGATTGTACTTCCTGGCCTGTGGGACAGCCACCTTCCAGGCCTTTAACCCTTTATAAGAAATAAAATTTCCTCTCAAATTTATGGATCTTGTGAGTTCTAGGTTAACAAAGTAGAAAGAAGGAATTTGGGAAACTGACAACTTTGCAAACTAGAGCTACTGTAGAAGTTTGGATTTTTACTTAAGAGAGAAATCTCGTTCTTGCTTAAGCAATGCTTATACTGGGTATAGTAGTCAGGTTGACATACAACTAACCATTACTCTGGGTCTCATTTACAGCAATGGAATTTATTTATTTATTTTATTTGAGACGAGGTCTTACTCTGTCAACCAGGCTGGAGTACAGGTGTGTCATCATGGCTTATCGCAGCCTCAACCTCCTGTGTGCAAAGGATCCTCCCACCTCAGCCTCCTGAGTGAAAAATTAGCTAACATGCCTGGCTAATTTTTAAATTTTTTTGTAGGGACAGGGTCTTGCCATCTTGCCCAGGCTGGTCTTGAACTCCTGGGCTCAAGTGATCTTTCTGCCTTGGCCTCCCAAAGTGCTGACATTACAGATGTGAACCACCATGCTTGAACACTGTCTTTAAATGGTGAAAAAAAGACTTGAAGCACTCTTTGTGAAGATCGAGACCTCTTGCTACATAGGATTTGGAATCATAGGCTTCTAGAGATGGAAGGGGTCTTAGGAATTCACATTTTAAAGAAGGAGAAACTGATACCCATAGGAGTTAAATGTCTTAGCTGAAGCCTCAGTGCTGTGGTGAGAGACAAGTCTTTCATCTTCTAGGCCAGTACCAGTACTCTTACCCCTAGGGTAAAGGTTCAAGAATGTGCAGGTGTCAGGCTTTAGTAAAGTCATCTATACTAAGCATTATCAAATGTTTTAGCCAACAACAAAAATAAGCCAGATGAAACAAAATTACTTTTTTTGACTAAGTGATCACCAGCATTTCATAGACATTTATTTGACAAAGGTTTTGATCCAACAAATGCCATGTACTGTAAAGGTGAGCAAGATACAGTACTACCCTGTGGTTGTTTACAACTTGGTGGAGGGGCAAACATGTAATCAAACAATTAGAATACACTCTGTTAAGGCTACATGTACAAAGATCTAGGGTGCTATAGAAATGTGTAAAGCTGGGCCAGGCATGGTGTTGCTTACGTCTGTAATTGTAGCTCTTTGGGAGGCCAAGGTGTCAGGCCTTTGAGATCAGTCTGGGCAATGTAGTGAGACCCTGTCAGAAAGAAAGAAAAGAAAGAAAGGAAGGAAGGAAAGAGAAAGGAAGAGAGAAAGAGTGAGAGAGAGCAAGCGAGAGAAAGACAAAGAGAAAAAGGGAAGGAAGGAAGGAAGGAAGGGAGGGAGGGAAGCTGTGTTTCTCAACTGGGGAGTGATTCCAGCTCCTGCCCCCAGGAGACATTTGGCAAGGTCTGGAGACATTTTGCTATGGCTGGAGAAGGAGGGGTTGGCTACTGGCATCCAGTGTGTAAACGCCAGGGATACTGCTAAATATCCTAAAATTCACAGGACAGCTCCTGTGACTAAAGACTTGGGCCGGGTGTGGTGGCTCAAGCCTGTAATCCCAGCACTTTGGGAGGCCGAGGTGGGTGGATCACGAGGTCAAGAGATCGAGACCATCCTGGTCAACATGGTGAAACCCCGTCTCTACTAAAAATACAAAAAATTAGCTGGTCACGGTGCTGCGTGCCTGTAGTCCCAGCTGCTCAGGAGGCTGAGGCAGGAGAATTGCCTGAACCCAGGAGGCGGAGGTTGCGGTGAGCCGAGATCGTGCCATTGCACGATCAAGAGCGAAACTCCGTCTCAAAAAAAAAAAAAAAAAAAAATCCAAAAACACTTAGCAGGCCCAAAATATCAATAGGGCTGAGGTTGGAAACCTCTGGTATAGAGCCAGCAAAATATTTTCTACAAGAGACAGGGAAGTGGGTAAAGCTTGGTCTGGGGATGAGGGGGTGGGTAGGGAAGAGTTTAGTAAAGAGATAATGACGCCGGTGTGGGGAAGGGAAACTCCCAGCCGAAGGGATAAGATGTGCAAAGCCGCAGAAGCGTGACATATGTGGGCAATCCCAAACACCAGAGAAAGAACTGTGGTCATTAAGACCAGACAGATAGGCAGGAGCTAGATGTTCAATAAATCATATTAAGTTAGAGGAATTACTGTAAGAAAAACTTATAAACAGTGGTGATTCTTTATAAGTCACTCAGAAGAACAGTGTTGGTATGTCTCTGTGAGCTAAAACAGCTGAAGAAATCTGTATGAAGTGAAACTTTTCTCATCCTGCTTTCTTAGGGCCTGGTGTTTTCCAGCCTGCGTTATTGTCTCAGAGATAAAGTCAGGGCTGCTTCATTGGAATATGAGGGGTGAACTAGCTCTCTATTAAAGCCACTCAGCTGGTGTCTTGATGCTCTGATGGGATCATGAGCACGGGTGAGGTGGTTATTTTTCATGAATTAGGCTTAATATAGGCTGCTGCTGATGTTTATTTCCTCTTTCATAGAGCATCCCCAGTCCCGAAATGGGGAGCTATGAGCTGTAAGATTAGATTACCAACTTGAATCTAAATGAGCTGCCCCCTTCCCCTCCAAAAGAAAAGTTGTGCAGGTAGGGTATTCTAATGAGGGCTTCTTTTCTCTTAAGCAAATGATGATCAAAGCAACTGACAAACTGTCACGGAATCTGCCAGACCTCACTCTGGCCTTGCCACTTCTCTCCAGCTCCTGAACTTTTCTTCCTTTCGTCATGCTCTGAGCCCATTCCTTGAAAACTAATAGGTCCCTGACTCCTGGCCTGCAGTCATCCTGGGCCTGCTGAGCTCTGATCCAAGTGCCTGCCTTTGCCTGCGGTGGCCTGAAGCTTCATGGAGGTGGGTGACCCTTTTTTTTTAAATTCAGCCGGACTTCCAGGAAATGTGGAAAACAGGATCCTGGAAGAGGTTATGGACTTGGGAGCACAAAAGGAAATTCATGAAGGGAAGTATTTAACTTGTGACAGCTGGTAGCTACTATACTCTCTCCAGGCCTTTGAATAACTAACAATTTAGACTAGAGAAGCTGGTAAGAAAGTAATGAAATCCACCAAAACATTTTGAGAAAAATTAAACTATATACTACACAAAATTTACCTTTGTTACCAATGTAATCATTTTATTTATTTTAGATTTAAAAATTATTATGTATAACTTGTTTTGCTTACTATACCTTCACATTTGATATTTTATATTTAAGGCAGAGTTGATATTCAGATGTTAAACATTTTTAATCTAATTCCTCCCTTTACGGCCTCTTCAGAGCTAAAATAAAGGAAGTTATATTCTTACGAACTTAGTTTTCTCCTGACTGTCAGACAGATAAAAGAAAATGCTTATTTACTACATGAAAGCCTGAAAAACTCACTAAAATTGATTGACAAGAAATGTTGACACAGGGGCCCTTAAATTCTGAGTTATCATCCATTTCCACCAGTTTCCACTTCTTATAAGGTTTAATTTCATTATAGGTATATTAATCATTAAGATCAGTTTCTAATTTCCTCTATCATAAGACCTTTAGGTTTGCTCTTATTCATCTCTGTCCTTAGCTATTGAAGCAAACAGGGCTATAAACATTTTGTTTATAATTCCTACAGGAAAAATAAACGCTACTGCCTATACCTACTACATTCTTATCACTTTAGGGCCAAATCAATAAAAATAGACATTTTTCCATAATAGTAAAAAAATTGTGTGATAGTGAGCTTCCAATTACTTAAGATGTTTGGGCAGAGGCTGGAAAGGAGTGAATTAAATGGCTTAAAATTTCTTTCAACTCTGAGAAGCTCCAAGAACTCAGAAAGTTTCGAATCGTCCCTTCTTATGTGAAAATGTCATGACTCGTAAAGGAGGATCATGTCTTGCTCTTAGGTTTGAGCTGGCTGTGCCATATAGTTCGTCTTTGTGGATGAATTATGTTTTTCTGCTCTCAAGGTTAATTCTTCATAAAATCTGTCCATCAAAGTTTAAAAATTACTTTGAAGGAATAAAGGTTGAAAAGCAACAAACGAACTCTCCTTAGATATCTTAACCATGATTTAAAAAATTTACAACACAAAACTTCTCAGGAAAAAAAAAAATCTCTGGTAAGAATTAAAGATTTCTTATGCAAGTG